GAATATGGACAGCAGCACACTAACCTGGTGTCTGCCATACTTATAAAACAAACTAGGTTCACTTTGTTTACTTGAACTAATAAAGCTGAGAGGCTTGAATACACTCAGTGCACTATGGCCTATTTAGTTAATCTAAAAATGATGCGCAGATTTCCCTCCATCGCTGCATCCAATCGATTGGCTGAAAACTGTTTTCAGTTGACTATGATTTTCTTCGGTTGTCTACAGGCCTACTGTGATGTTTACAGGAATCTGCAAATGGTTTTTGGCTATAATTGCATTCTTAAGTGTACCTAGATTTACTAATGTGCAAATAAATCTGTAAATATGCAGCTGGGGAGAGAAATGGCTGAGAAGTCTGAAATCTTTTCTTCAACAGCTGGAAATGATGATAAGTTGTTGTTATTGCAGTCACAATCAGTTCTTTGGACAGGCCTCTCAGTTTGATAGATTGGTGTTACACTACATTTTTTAGATTTACAACCTCAATCCAAATGACATGCAACTACAAACAAAATCTCCAAACACATTTGCACATATTTGTGGCTACAATATTAACCCCAAAGAGAACACTCAAAGGATTTTTACACTTCTCACGCAATTGGTTTTAACATATGGTGTTACTTTTATTATTACTAAATAGTTAGCATACCATGACTGGGTGGACTAAAGGTTTTTTTCGTCCAAGGATTAGAGTTACACATCAGGTATACATCAATAAAGGATCTAAAGATGCACCCGTAGATTAAACAAATATCAGATCCTAGTGTACATTTTATGGGCATCTGGAATTATCTGGTGGGTGAAGATCGAGTAACTGTGAAACATGCTGTATTCGCGACCTTCATGTTTTTAAAATCCTTCCTCTGTCTGTCACGCCTGACCTCGGTGTGACACTTAACCAACTACACGTATCAGAAGGAAAGAATCGCTGTCGAGGTTACAGTGGTTTAATATCGCCGTCCGTCTTTATGGAAAGCTGATGGTGATTGTTTGTAAAAGCACACGTATGTTGTAAGCGAGGAGCTTTATATGTGAGAACGGCTAACGTCACTTTAGCCAAAGTGGGTCAGACCTGGACATGACAACACTAAAAACACCACATCACGGAACCAGTTCATTTAAATGGATACTTGGGTAATTAGCGACAGTCTCGGTGCAGTTTAATAATTCGCTTCAACACACACACACACTGTCACACTAGCTTTCTGTAATGTCGAGGCTGGATAACTTGTTCGTTAGCCAAATCAGATTCCTAAGGAGGAATTTTCGATAGCTAGTCTAACGTTACCGACATTTCGCTAACGTTAGCAAGCAGTGTTAGCAGCCGACCACAGAAGCTCGCACAGGATGTTAGCTGTCACATCATTGAGTCTCCTTACTGCTAAATCCTACCTTATAATAGACGTCGAACTGTATATTTTCTGGGAGGGACCGTATGTCCCTTCTTGACCGGCTGTAGTTGTCCACCACAGCCGAGATAGCAGTGTTGTACAGCGTTTCTGGGATCCATTCGAGCTCCACCGCAGCCATGTTGTTTTCCCTCTCCAAAAAAGCCCCAGAAGCTACAGCCCTCCTCAACTCTCCTTACATTCACTACCTTACCACTATTGAAGCCCTTCTTCTGCGAGTCCTCATGCAACATTCGCTCCGTATTGACACTACGAATATTATTGTTGCAGACAAGTCAGTGTCTCGATTTAAAAAACCGCTGTTTCATTTCCATCCTTCTCTTTCATCTTCGACTACTCGTCGACCCTACAGCAGTTCCGTGCCCCCGTCCCGACGCTCACACTCACGGGCGCTGACGCAATGACGTCATTGTGCAGTCGATGCTGAACCAACAGGCTCCAAGTAAAAAGTCACACTTCACATAAAGTAAAAAGATGAATTTACCGACGATTGCCCATTTAAGCAATGTACCACCCACCCACTCGTCTTTCCGTGAAGAAGCCGCGCTCCTTATTTGGCAGATAACAAACACATATCATAACAAATGGCAACAGAAAACAAAAATCCTTTACTTGTTTAATGTTAATGTACCTGACCAGCGCTTTGATTTCGTAAACAATGTGTCAAATTTATTACAATTCCTTTATATTTAATGTGGCTAGAAAAACTCCAACGACAGCCAATCATTGCACCAAAAAGGTCGAAATGTGTTACAAAATGTGTCTAAATAGAAATAAGGAGTACTGACTGTGGGGAAATGAAAATGCACTACACTGAGGTAGGTTCGAAACTTTGTTACAACCGGTGAATGTGAGTCTAGATTTCGTTTATTGTGAAATTAAGAGAACTTTTTGAGTGAAATGTTGAACCTATATAAAATATGCAGAATATTTTACCTTTAATGAAAGGAGCATTTACATGTACCCCACTGGTGCATATGAACAAGGTAACTGAGTATGGTGAGACTAAGCCCTAAAAAGCATCTTGTAATATCACAGATGTTTCCTCAGTTGTTTGTTATTATTAATCTGTGGCTCTCTTCCACAGCTGCTTGTCATCGGCAGATGGCCGCCCCTCCCCAAGCTTGGTTCCTCGTGAGGTTTCTTCCTGTTCTAAGGGAGTTTTTCCTTCCCACCGTCACCAAAATGCTTGCTCATAAGGGGTCATATGATTGTTGGGGTTTTCTCTGTACTATTGTAGGATCTTGACCCTACAATATAAAGCACCTTGAGGCTACTGTTGTTGTGATTTGGTGCTATGTAAATACAATTTAACCAAGTGTCCCATATATATTCAACTGGGCTGAGGTCAGATGACTGCAGACGAAGGACAAGCAGTAGTGACAGACACCACTGCTTGGTCAACAAAGCTTTGAGGTGTGTTCAGTAGTGATGTGCGATACCACTGATTTCCTTTCCGATCCGATACCAAGTAAAATTCAGGGTGGTATCGGCGATACTGATCCGATACTCTGTACAAAAACTTAATGTTTCATTGCATTTCATAATACAATATATAATTGTATTATGTAATTGTAATAATAACATAACCATATTGCTTCATAATGATTAGAGGACATCAGACAACTTGTTTTTATTGCTTAATAATGCAGAATAATCATATAGAAATAAAAAAACTGACGTTGTGCGCTATTTGAGCATGTTGCCTGCCTGCAGCACTAAAGGACTCTGCGAGAGACGTCTGTCTCGCCCTAGCAGCACCTGTCCCTGTCCTCCTCTTCAGTTCGCCTCAACATAAGCTTATCATATTCTGTGATGTGATTTACTCCGAGGTGTTTGACGAGGTCAGTAGTGCTGCCACAACAACGTGTCCACACAGGACTCTGTTTGCGCTCAGCCATTGTTGTGAGTGTGCACGCCAGGGGCTGCGACACATTTATACAGCCATATGACTATGAAAGGCGTAAGAGGAAGTAGTTCCTTCCAAATTAGACGATCCGAATTGTATAGTTTCTTTCCACTGCATTCATTTTAATGGAAAAACTACAAATTTACCCCAGAGTACTAAAATATCGATATTATAATATGAGAATCGATTCTAGAACATAAATTGCTGTTATCGGAAGAATCGGTATTTCAGTATCGATCCGCACACCACTAGTGTTCAGGTTCACTGTCACCGCTTCAGTATGACTCTTTCTCCAAAATAATGCCATTCAGAGGGTGTAGGATGTCTCTAAAGAATAAAATGCTTCTTGTTTTTTGTTATAGTGGTGTCGGTTGGAAAGAAGACAAATATAGCTCCAGTTTTGTTTTTTCTTGGATATTACTCTGTCCAAAAATCATGGGCCACCTCTCACTTCTTTATATGTTTTTAGAAAAATGCTAAAGAGGTGCAGCAATCTATTAAAACATCTTAAAACATAGTTTTTAGAATTCTACCAAGATTATAAGTCAAGACAAGACAAACCTTTCTCTTTTATAAGAATGGCTTCTAAACGGCCACTCTTCTCCTGAAATCATTTCTGATGAGGCTTTAGTAACAGCAAATGAATCATCTGATGGGCCAGATGTATCTCTCATGTTCTGTGTCACGTTTTGCTGGATTCTTTTCCTTTTTCTTATGGCTTTCCATTACTGTTCTGATACTGTGAAATGCATTAGCTCACCACATATGCGACCTTGTCATTTTGGGTAGCTTTTACATATAGGTTAATTACCATTTGTGTAACTTACATAGTTGCTGCACATTTAGAGCGTGCTATAGGGCCAGTATTACTGTCAGGTCTGATATTGACTACACAGGGTTTATTTAGTGCTTATAAATGTGACAGAGTGAAGCTTATTTGCGTGCCATTTGACTTTAAATTTTATTCTATTTGGATTTGAAATCAAACACTACAGAGTCAGAGTGCTGGTACTCACAACAATTTGCATTAATCATCATGAAACTGAGCTCACGGCCCACTATTCAGACATCACTACTGATTATAATATTTGGGGAAACCTGCAGTCAGCTGACAGTTGGATGAGTGACGACACGTTTTTTCCACGCTACTTCCAGATGAAAATTATCAGCGTTTTGGAACTTTCTTATCTGGATGATTGAGCATGCATCAGTATACTAGTTGATTACAATTACTGACAGTCTGGTATAATATTTAACTTTGTTTAGAAATGTGCAATACCTGTCTGTGTTGCTGAGGATCACGGCGACAACAGCAAAGGTGTCGAGTAGGTGTCACTGTAGAGAAGTGTCTGTTTGGAAACCTCTGCTTTGACAAAGCCTCGCGTTCCCCAGCACTACAATACACTGACTTGCCTGCAGACTAGACCTGACCTGCGGTGACCAACTGGAAAATTGCATGTGTACCACCAAGAGTGACAGAATTAGGATTTCATTTGGTTTCATACGCTTTTCATACGCTTGCAGATTGGAAACGCGGTTTCTTTTTGATGACCACCTTATATTGACGTGACCACCCCATTAAAGTCAATATTTTTGCTCTTAAGTCGCGGTTTGGCTCGGAGCAAGACCTCTAGAGGGCAACAGCACTCCGGTGACAGCTGCACTTGCTTTGCCACGTCTACGTACAAGAAGAAGGGAAATTCTGACGTCAACACGCTCGAGCATGCCTACTACACTCCACATAAACAAAGGCAGGACGCGGCTCTGCGATAATTTGTACTGTCTTTCTATTCTATATACTAACAATATTAAATAAAATTGGAGCGGGCCTCAACTTTGGAGCCATGGAAAACGCATTACTGATGCGAGTGAGTGTTTTTACCGACCAAGGAGGCAGGAAATACATGGAAGATGTGACCGAGGTCATAGTAGAGCCTGAGCCGGGAGAAAATGAGCCGGCGACGGGTGACCCAGAGGAGAACATTCGGAGAGACTACACGTTCAATTCTTTGGCTGGGGACACTTATCCCGACCGGGCCGATAAAACCGTGGAGTCCCCGCAGGTTTTAAACGCATCCAGTGAACTCGTACAAACAGAAGATGAGGGTATATCGGTAGAAACGCCGTCACCAGGAGATCTAAGCACGCCGCAAGTTCAGCCGAACACCCCGACTTGTTCCCGCCGTTCCGTAGCATTCTTCGCCGTTTTTGATGGTCACGGGGGTCGCGAGGCTGCGCAGTTTGCGCGAGACTATCTTTGGGAGTTCATGAAGAAACAGCGGGGATTCTGGTCAGACTGTGACCGGGAGGTCTGCTCTGCCATACGCAAAGGGTTTGTAGCATGCCACCATGCTATGTGGAAGAAACTGCGTAAGTTTACTAAAACTATTAAGTTGTGACACGTAAAAGCTGTTACTACTTTGTGCTTCTCTGTGTTTAAGTAACGTGAACTTAACGCCAAACCTCAAAATCAGACTATATTATCTGGCCTACACCCAGCTGAGTGTTCACCGACCGTAGCTCATTGCTAGCTCTATGAAAGCCGGATTTACTAGAATGTTCCACGGGCTCAGTAGAGCCTTAAAAAGAAAGATCTCGACCAGAGAGCTAGGTAATTGCCAGATACCCCAGCAAATTCCTCGCCATTGTGCCCAGGCTCTGTTTGTTTGTTTGTTCAATTAAGATCAAGTTATAAGTAAATGTTGGAATTAGCATTGGAATTAGCGGAGCTAACGAAGTTAGCTGTAGCCGCCCGGTATTCGCCAAACAAAGCCCGTCACAGCAGACACCGAACAGTTCAGAAGTATGTTCACAATCTAATGTATAATGGAAACCCACAAAGTGTTATGGTCTCACTGGCCTCAATCTAGTGTGTCGTTACAGAGATGTAGTTATTACCCTTTTTAACGCCTCATCGATTCTATTTAGTCTGTGTATGCCTTGGACCACGGCAGTGTGTTCAGGTGTCTGGTTGGATATGTTCGGACTTGTCAGCTGTTTCCAGCTGGTCACAGATTATATGTACACACACAAAGTGCTTGTGCAGCGCATGTGTGACTTTGCTTATAAAACTACCTCCTGGACAAATAAAAACCGACCTTGAGGTCACATACATCTCTTTTAGCGTGGTAGACAAAAACAGATCAGTGCACATTGATATGTAAGAAGCCAGTATGTTCTACCTGTCTGTTCAGTGTACCTCACAGCACTGTGCAGTAATGTTTTATAAACAATAAGCTTGTGTTCATTTTCTGCCTTCTGTATTTTCAGCTGAATGGCCAAAGACACTTACAGGCCTTCCTAGTACATCAGGTACCACAGCCAGTGTAGTGGTGCTCAGAGGAAACCGCATGTATGTCGCCCATGTTGGGGACTCTGCGGTGGTTCTAGGTGTCCAGGATGACCCTTCAGTCCCATTCATCAGAGCTGTGGAAGTCACGCAGGACCATAAACCAGAACTTCCCAAAGAGAGGGAGCGTATTGAAGGTCTAGGAGGAAGGTAAGCAGGGCCCAGCTCAACATTTTGTCACCCCCACCCCCCAACTGACCCCATAGTTTTATAGATCCCTTGTAAATGTTTACTGTCCTATCTGTCCTACTGTCCTATGGGGTAAATACAAATTTTCATTACTCTATATATTGCTGTTTTATTTTATCTATAATAGTGTAACATAAGTTATTTGTAAATGTTATTAAAAGTCTAAACCTGCAAATAACTATTAATTGAGCTTTAAGAGAAATACAGTATAGAGATTGAAAATGTGACGTCATTCAGGGGTAAAACCGCAAAGGATTCTGGGAACTCGTGGCAAGAGGTACTAGTGCACGCAGGCTTTCAATTGAAATCAGTTACACAGCGATAAAAAGAAACACAAAAATGGCAAGAAGCTCTGTATTATTAACTGCAATAGCCGGTCGCATGACAGCCACGGGAAGCCGACGGGTAAAGAGATCGGTTGTTATCGGATTACGTCGTTGAAGAGAAATTGTTCGAGCCATGTTTCCGAAGTAACAAAGAGGTGACGGATGGCCTGGATTGCAGCCATTCAAAGAGCAAATACAACGTCCCAGAACACTCCAGCTCACATGTTAGTCTGCTCCAAGCATTTACACAAAGGTCAGTGTTTTGTAGCAGTTAATGCGTCATTTTTCATAACATAATTGGTGATATAGGTTACAAGCAAGTCTGGCGCTGAACAGAAATTGTGGCGCTATGCTCCTTTGTTTATTGTGCATAAACAGTGAATTGTCCTGACACAATATTGCGTTTCGCTTCTGTTATTACCATGGTACACTGACAAAAACATACTTTTCCACAGGGTAAAACAGTTTTTTTGTATCACTAATAGCCCAGTACGATTACAGCATACAATATTATTGTCACTTACCAGTCTCGACGATTTGTGAGACTGGTAAACTTACGTTTGTTCGTACGATGGTCTTTTGTTCTACACGGTGCATTTCAAGGTCCTGCACCCATCCGTCGCTAAACTGTACCTGGGCTCATTGCAGTGACCTGAAGTTACTAAACTTCATGAGTGTGTGCACTCACTCCAAGAAGCGTATAATTATAAATATGAGCGTGGTGAAAGTTGGGCAGCACACTAATGTCTTTTGTCCACTCTGTGTGCTCGTAAGGGTCTGACCCTTTCACTCCTTTGATTTTTTCCTCGTATCTTTTCTTTGACTTTTCATCAAGTCTGTCTTTGTACGGTCCGGCATTGTTCTCCTTCGTTTTGTACATTCCTTTTTTGGGGGGCAAAGAAAAGCCAAGAAGGTATTGGAACCGGAGAATGAACGTTTTGCGGTGCTGCAAATGCTTGCATTTGATGCGGTACTTGGATTGTTTTGCCACGAGTTCCCAGCATGCAATGCGCGAAAGTCACATGGTCTGCCAATCTCTATAGTACACCCCATGCCCCCCTTTAGACCCGACCCTGCATGCTGCAGATTGAAAAGGGCTGTCCACCTGCAGCAGAGTTTATCAGAAATCTGCCCAATTTAAAGATCGTTGTAAACTAAACAAAGAAGTTCATCTGCACACAGACGGCTTTCATTTGAACTTTTAATCAAACAGCATTGTTTTGAGCCACAGCTGCTTTTGAGGCCAGCTGTGGTTGCCAGAGCAGGTTATCTACCAGTCAGAAGGTTTCAGAATCAGTCTTCCTGCAGCTACTCCAGTCTGCATGTTGAAGTATCTTTGGGGAAGATACTGAACCCTGATTTGCCCCTGATGCAGCCATCAGGATGTGAGTGTGTGCACAAATGTTATAAACGGTTCTTAGCATAGAAAAAAGCGCTTATATATGAACGTATGCATGTGAGGCTAGTAAAAAGCACTCTGAGTGCTCATTTAGTACCGTATTTCCTGGACTACAAAGCGCACCTGAATATTAGCCGCACAAGCTAAAATCAGGGGAAAATCCTGTTTTGTACATACATTAGCTGCACCTGACTAAAAGCCGCAGGTGTTTCAATGTTGACTTATCATATGTAAGAGAATATGCACAAAGCGAATTGTCAGGAAAGAGATGGCTGTTTGGAGACACACCCCTTTTATTAATATTTTGAAAAACAAGTTATGGTTACATATTTGCATAACTTTTTAGGTATATGTACAAGTAGCGGTAATTACAAGTACGAAACATGTATTGTGCTTCATAAATGAGTAACAAATGTAGTACATAACAATAACCTACAGCACACCAGAAAAATAGATCCGGACTACCTTTTAGGCTCAGGTGCAGTGACACGGCTTCAACAAGAAGAAAAGTCAGTCATTCACCACCATCTTTCTCTTCTTCCTGCGCACTGAAACCACCAAAGTCCTCTCCTCCAGTGTCGGAGACGAACAGGTTCAGGATGGCTACTCTCCGCTTCTTTCCTTTGTTGTCACTTTCAAAACCAAAGAAATCCTCGTTGTCAGTGTCGGAGTCGAACACCCTCAGAAGGGCCGTGGCGGTGTCCTCCTCTCCATCATGCAGCAGTCCAGCGCTTCGAAATCCGTTGGTGATCATGGATGTTTTCACACTTTTCCACGCTGTCAGATTCCACCGGTGGAGTTGAGCATAACTTGCTTTTCGCAAGTTTATCGGCGCTCGTCATCCACGCCTCCCGCTGAACGCATAGCCCGACAGCTTATAGCCCGACAATTACGGTATATAAAAAAAAAAATACTATAAAAGTACCAGTCCATTTCCCATTTACTGTGTTTGTCGCTGTTTCTGCTTTTCTTCATATTTAAGCTTTCTGATTAGGGCCCTAACATGTTTTCATGAACAACAACAGTCTCTAAGTTAAAAAGTAAAACTGAGTTGATTAGCTCTGAAAACATTCCACTCTGAGTATCTTTACTCTGAGTTAATTGCATACGTGAACAGGGAAAGAAAGCCATCATCAACAGAGCCCCAACACAACGAATTACCATGGGAACGGGTAAATAAGAAGCAGTGTCCCGATTTTATTACCGTGCACAAAGAAATATGAACACGTGTCACTGATTACCACGACATTCATCTTAAAAAAAAACAGGACGGAAGAAAAAAATCCTTTCAGTCTTGCTCCAGTCTGTCTTCATCATAGGTTGAATAAAAGTTTGTTTTAAATATAATCTTTAATACTGTCTTTCATTGTCATTTACCTAAATAGATTTTTCAGTTAGAATCTGAAATCTTGATTTTTAAATGTGATTATTAAACTTTAATGTAACAGGGACAGAAACTGAAGATAAACTCTGAACAAACAGACAAAACAATTTACGGATCCACCCCCAAGTCCATCGCTTGTTAATTTAAAAGAAATGTTGCTACAGTTTATGCCAATTTTTAATAATTCTTCAGTAAAACTTTAATGTGCTGATAGAATGTAACAACCTTTTTTTTTTATCAAGAGAGAATTGTATTATTTCTGACATTACTAGATAAATATGCTGCTCTAAATGTTCCTGTTTTGGAGGTTGTCTCATTGCTTGCCTGACCAGATTAATATCCTTTAACTATACCTGACTGGACTTGCTATACTCAAACCCAGCCTTGAAGCCACACACTACTGGACTATTAGTGCAGGTCAAAAATGTACGTCTGTCTTTAAAAGGCTGTGTGTTTGTGATGTGTATGACTATGTTTTTGTTGGGTGTATTGAATCGATTGGCACCTGTGTGTAATTCTTGTTGCTGTAGTCTGACTCTTCTAAATGGCAGCTTCTCTCTCCTCTCTGTATGAACAGCGTGATCAAGAAGTCTGGGGTGAATCGGGTGGTGTGGAAGAGGCCAAGACTCAGCCACAATGGTCCAGTCCGTCGTAGTACTGTGATCGACCAGATACCATTCTTGGCAGTAGCTCGAGCTTTAGGTAGGAGCATTAACTTACTGTAATCCCAGTGAAGAAGCTGTGAGGATGACTAGAATAATACAAAAGAGAGTACCAGAACCATGATTTTATTTTCACTAGCAATTGGGCACAAAGTCTGCGCTCTGTAGAGCTTCTGTTCAAATAGGCTACTTCTAAGTTCAAGAAAAAAGGGTAGTGATGGTTAGACTCAGAGTCACACAGCATGTGTGGCTCGTAGTTCCTTCATTAAAGTTTTCCTTTTCTGCCACAGGCGATCTATGGAGTTACGACTTCTACAGTGGAGAGTTTGTGGTTTCTCCAGAGCCTGACACTAGTGTGGTGGTTCTTGACCCTAAAAAACATCGCTACATCATCCTGGGCAGCGATGGTCTGTGGAATATGGTTCCTCCTCAAGAGGCCATCTCCATGTGTCAGAATAATGACGAGGAAATGGTGAGTGGTTATGCTTTAGCTGCTATCAGTATAGATGGTTGCCCTGTTCCTGCATGTGTGGGTTGATGTCTCTTATAGCCCATAAGTAAAAAGTAATGTCCACCTCATATCAGCCGTGTTAGTCGGTGTACTAACAGCATTTACTGCTGCAGGCACCATGTGGGGTCTCGAGTGCCAGGCAGCTGGTCAGTCATGCTTTGCTGCGGTGGCGCCAGCGGATGTTGCGTGCAGACAATACAAGCGCCATAGTAATTGCCCTGCAAGAGCCTGGGACCTGCCAGGACACCCTGCACCATGAGGAAGTGCTGCTAGACCTAGCCAAGGTGTCTCAGTGTCCCCCCACCTCCATATCTCGCGCAGACACTCCTCTTGTTCAGGTGAGGAACAATAGATCCCTGGTTTAAGGTGTGGTATGCACATATAAGTGCTGGACTTGACTGTTATTCCATTGTCTTCTTCTACAGCGACTTCCAGAGGAGGACTCTCCCGCGGCCACATGTGAGCTCTTCTCTGCGTTGGAGCGACGAGATGGGCTATCGGGAAGCAACAGCTTTTATCACATGGATCTATCTGACCCCTTTGCTCTGACTCCGCTGTGTTCAAACGGCAGCCCCGAGCTGCCCGCCCTGTCCAGTGCAACGGACAGGACAGCTGGCAGCAGGACACCCACCAGAAAAAGAACTATTGACGTGTCATCAAGCCCATCGGGCCTGCTGGCAAAGAAAGCCCGGCGCAGGACTGCCGAAAGACCGCCACTGGTGCAACACAACGCAGAGAAGAAACAGAAAGACACCAATAATGTCTCCTCCATTCTCCAGCAGCATAAAAGTACCACAGTATGTGTGTGCTAAAACACACACACACCTGCTCCCTCCCACTGTCACCGTCATTTGCAGTGGTGCTTCTGTTCCATAAGTTTGCAGCTTCCTCCTGCATATTGTTACGACTCTAAGCAACTGTCCTACGGAGGGAAGACTCACTGCTCACCACTCAAACAGTCGACACTTATAAAAAGTTTGTTTTGGATGAATTTTGTGTCTTTGTTTTTAAATTCCTTCCTGAAATGCTGATGAAATGTGTCTTATGTCACCTCAGTTTCTAGTAACAATTGTAAGCATTAAATAATGTTGCTGGTGTAAAATCTTATGCATTTTATAGCAAGTATTGAAAAGTCAGTTGAATTGTTCATTTAGAACAAATATATATATTTTTCTACTTTCTTTTATTGTATGATGATCTTAGAGTAATATTCCTTTTAGATGTGCTTCACCTTTTCTTTCTTCTCCAACTCATCACTCTGTCAACAAAATTGTGTGCGCACTCTGTGTTAAACATATTTATGTATTATTATCAGTTTATTTAATCACTGGAGACTTACCTTGAATATAAACTGAAGGTGCTGCTACCATCACAGACCAGTAAGCTACTACATTGTGTGTGTTGCTATATAAATACATGTAATGTTTGCAAGTATCATGTTTTCTCATTTGCCATAATGCACCCCCACCCTGTGAGGTTTCTAATAGTTGTTAATTGCACAGTGCATCTTAAGGGATAGGTGCATCCCCTCGATTATGTTTTTAATGTTTGTTGTTTGGTGTCTTCACTTCCCTGAGCCTGCTTCCTACACCTGGTATAAGTTCTCAGAAAAAGCTTTTTGGCAGCCCTTTGCTTCTGTACATGTGTCTATAATAGTGAACTTCTCTCTGTGTGAACACCCTGGTGGCCCTAAAGGAAATCTTCTTCAATTGTGAGGCACTGCAAACAATGTTTACAAGTAACATTTACTGAGCTATTTCATGCTGCCAGCCTTTCACTGTGCACGAACCTTCCCCTGCAGAGAAGAAACTGTCATGCTCCCCCAGTTCATCCTGCCACTTCGTTTTATCTCATTTGCAACACAACACCACCACCTGCACCACCTGTTTCTTTAATACTCGCCTTCCTACGAGCTGTTGTCCCACCATGCTGCAGCGCAAGTTGTATAGTTACCAATGTATGCACAAGGCTCATCTGTGATTAAATACACTCTGCATGGATGGACTTTAAGAGAACTGTTTTGCACTATTATGGTGACGTTCATTGTCTCTAGGAGTGAGTTGTTTTTAACAAACAATGCAGCTAGTCTGAAATTGAGGATGTCAAATAATAAAATCGTTTTAGAATAGATCACTCACTGAGCTTAGTATAGTTAGGAAAACAGAGCCCTGTATGATTCAGATTTTTCCTGCGAGAGAATAACGACCATTACACAGGAAAGAAAAACTTCTCAGTCTTTGTTACGTGATGTGTTTCCACTGAGCTAAGTGCAATTTCTAACAGGAATTTGTAGCATTGTGGGTTATTTAAATTATACAGTGATGATTCATGTTTGACATACTCTGTAAATGCAGTCTGTTGCTTGGCTTGGAATTCCTCAATTATGATTTTTTTATATATATTTGAGAATTTTGTTCCTCTTTTTGTTTGCTTATTAATCTAAGTACTCCCCTCCCTGATTCGGATAGCTGTGCTAACACCAAGTGCATGTGTACAATGTAAATGTGAAAAACACTTATCTGGAAATGAACCTATTTAAATAAAATAAATTCTCTGAAGTAACTTAATTACAACGCTTTGAAAATATTTAGTAATTAAAAAAATCATTATGCAATCTGAACGGTTTTGCAAACAAACAAAAAAACATTTGCCATTGCATATGTCCCACTGGTTGAACGTCAGAAGAGAAAGAGGAATTCTGGAGTAAGGCTGTGTAGGTTCTCAGTCATGGTAATCTAAGGAGATTGAATAGAAAAGACTTTCTCGAGTCTTCAAGGCGTCTTCAGGAAACTCAAAGGAGTCCAGTCGCTTTTCTATTCAAGCTCCTTAAAGTTCTGGAGTGAGTTAGATGAAGTGGTAGAGAGTATCCCCAGAACATGTTCAGGATGTTCTTCAGTATGTTATTGTCGTTTTCCTTGTTTTTGACTGCACCAGAAGCAAGCTAGAGACAGTCCAAAGTCTGTGGGTGACCATGAAATCTGGAGGAGTGTGACACACTGACCAAAGAAGAATGGGTGGGATTGTTCAGGAGGCTTGTGTGAGACTTGTTGAAAAAAATAGCAAAACACTGCAGACTGTTGTCCTGCAAAAAAAGATACACAACCGCTCGTTAGCATAAGGGGGGCTAATAAGTTTGACCTTGGTTTTTTTTTTGTTTTTGTGAAATTATTTGGTTTCTGTGTGCAAAGTTAAATAATGTAAGCATCCAAAATAAAACTAAAATGTTTGGAAAAGCTGTGGTAAAAATTCTTTGCTCTGTTTAACGGACAACAAGGGAAATAACAAAGATTTAATATGTTCATAGTCAGGCTAAGAACTCTGTCCTCATCTGTTGACTAGAATATATACATAGACTCAGTTTGTCGTTTGATAAATAGTGCTGCGGGTTGTAAAATGTTTTCAACGTGACAAGGCCAAAGCCTGCTAACTTCTTAGTGATCATGACTGACTATAACTGGTAGTTTCTTTTTCCCATCATAAAAAGGATTTGTTTGACAGCACTTTGACCAACAAAGTAAAGGTAAAAGAGAAGACAGAGAAGTGTATATTTCAGAGCCCAACATCATTAGTTCAGTTGTACCTCAGTAAAACTGGATGTGTCACCAGTTTGTCAATGTTGACAAGTAGACCCAGTCTGTCACGCTCAGATGACAGGAAACTGGTTAGGATGTGCAGAAGCAACCCAGGAACCATGAAAGCTCAAACATGTCAAGAACTGGAAACTACTGGAAAACCAGCATTGCTATCCACAGTGAAGCGAGTTTTACATGGCTATGGACTAGGACATTACTGATCACGAGATGTTGTCTTGTTCCAAAATCAATCGTGCATGTGGGAAGCGGACATTTGCACGATAAGAGATATGCTAGGTTTTAACAACTGTACAGCAACTGTACCAACTGTCAAGCATAGTAGTGGTGGTGTCATGCTCTGGGGCTATCTTGCTGCCAGTGGTACATTGCACACCATGGACAGAATAATGAAGAAAAATACTTTAACTTCCCCTCAAATAAGACAGTTGAAACTTGGATACAATTAGGTGTTCCAACAAGATAAAACTCCCAAACACACATCAAAACCATATCATCACATTCAGAAAAAAGGTTAAACTCGAAATACTATTTTGAGTTGTTGCTTCAAGCCAAACAACCTTCACGGCTCCTATACCTTCTATAAAATGCCTTGTGTAGATGAGTTTGTGGTTCAACACACATCCTCTTTTTTGTACAAGGGTGTTACCATCAGTGTCCTTGCATCTGCCCATTGTCAGCCATTTCATTTTGTACAAATCTCTCCAACTCTTCCAGGGTTTTGTGGTTTCTACTTCTGAACAGTTCCAACTTTCTGCACCACCTCTTCAATGTCATTATATTTATCACCACACTGTGTTGATGAGCTAAAAGAGAAATCATTTCCTTTGACTAAAACCGATTATGAAGTACAATTTCACCATCTCATCTACACAAGGCATTTTCTAGAAGGCTTTAATTTCCACATTTGAATTTTATTCTGAAACTATTATTTGGACTTTACTCTGAAAATATTTTTCAGCTTATATCTCAAAATAGTATTTCAACCTTAGTATTGAAATTTGATCATTTATACTAGGGGTGCAACGATACACAAAATTCACGGTTCGGTTCGATACTTTGGTGTCACGGTTCGATATTTTTTCGATACAAAAAA